CTCGGCCTCCCAGAGTGCTAGGATTACAGGCGTGAGCCACCGCGCCCGGCCAGAATTTTTCTTTTAAAAGGGAAAAATGCTTTATGTTTAAGTTAATATAACTACTAAGGTTGACTACTTATAGTCACAAAGCTTAATCTACTTTCATTTATTTTGTGAGAATGAGTATGTATTGATAGCATTCTTTAAATCTCTGTTCAGTTGGTACTTCTTGGGAATCCACCCTATTTAGTTAGGAATTAATATTGTTTTATATTTCACGAATACTCTCGAAATGGAAATATGTCAGTATTTGGTAATGGAAAGAAATTGCAAGCCACCATGATAATACATTAAAAAATCTAAAGCTCCATTTTGTTTATAGTTCGTATTTATTCTAGGTGTGTGTTGCTTCTTGTAGGCTTCACTCTTGGACCTGAAAGAGCATGCTTCTTCCCTGGCTTCCTCAGGGCTGAAAAAGGACTCACGGCTCAAGACACTAGAGATTGCTTTGGAGCAGAAGAAGGAAGAGTGTCTGAAAATGGAATCACAGTTGAAAAAGGTTAAAGAAAAATTCTTACATATTCTTGCTTTGCTTTCAGTAATAACACAGTAGCTAACTCCCGGGTGTTTATGGGGAATAATTTACTGTGGAATAATCTCCCGAAATTCAAATACCATTTATAACACTCGATCAATTCTCTTAGCTTTCTTACCCTACTTTATTTTATTCGTGAGAATCCCTAAACTCTTAGAAAAGTGGCGGTTTAGGGGAAGATTAAAATATGCAACTCCCTGTGGTGAGATATGAGACCACAACACAAAAATGTCAATTACCTGATGTTTTTCTTCCGTTATCAGACTTCTAGGAAGAGATAATGTAACAGTGATAGTCACCTGCACTGGTGAATATTAGGACGTGGTGCAGATATCTGCAGTCTGTTTCTTTGATTTATACCTCTGTAATATTTATATAGCAGTTTATAGTTTCCTGAGCACTTTCATATTTATTGCCTGTGAGCCATCAATGCTGCGAGAATTGGAACTGAAACTTTTGAGTTCCATTAACTGGATCCAGGTCGTATGATTACTAATGAATATGGGTACAGCCTATCTTGAAACTTCCGGCTTTGTTCTCTTTTCATATATTGGGTGTATTTAACATGGTATCTTTATTTAGGAAATGCCAAAATTTAATCATATTTTGAAGCTAAGGAAAGGAAAAAAATCTAGTATCTTAAAGTTACTTTTGAATAAGTAAGAAAGTATTTTTTTTTTTGAGATGAAGGATTCCAGTTCTGACCAATTCAAATTTGGTAGTTGGCTTTTGTTTTTGTTTCTCATTCAAAGGGTGGAGGTGATTTTTCATTTAACACCTAAATATTAAACATGAAGTTATATGTATTTATAGTTACAAAACTGAGCAGTAGTGATCAAAAGTGATGTTAGTCATTAACATTCTAAACTCCCATTTATGACGGTCTCACATTTTCTTTTTATTTTGGATCTATCTTGATGCTTCTGTAGTTGG